AGGATTTTTTAAAAGGGTGAGAGGTGCTGATAATAAAGATAGCTATACGGATGATAAGAGAAATTGTCAACCAAATACAAGCTAAACTATCTAGCTTACAAAGAACGCAGATGCGAAACATCGAGAACACCGTTTCTTCAAAAATCAAGGTTTCCATGTTCCAGCCGTAAAGCCGACCTGAATAGTGCAGTTTTTAAAGAGAACAATCAACAAAAGGAAATCCTCTGAAATGTAAGTCACTTTCAGAGGAAAGTTTGTTTGAAATGAATGTTTTCCTCAGATAGAGATCGTCACTAAACCGAGGTTCAACAGAGATCAAACTTTCACCGTGACCAAAGTCTCAGGAATGTCAACATCCTCTAAACTACAAGACCTAATCGATCAAAGCTCCTTCAATCCAAAGTCTTCTCTAGGACAAGTTTCTCTCAAAGATCAAGCTAATCCAGAAACAATAATTCCTGAATGCAAGGAAAAGTGGGTACAAGTGCTATGCAAACCTAAGTCATTTTAGATAAAACAATGATCTTCCTCCTGTCGAAACAATTAGTATTTATCTTCCGTTTCGAAGGTAAATGCGTCATGATAAGGCTTCAAGGCCTTCGGTTTGAACTCAATATGATCCGGGCCGTGCTATAATGGCAATAATAGCATCGCACTGTCTGCCTCCTCCGTTCAGAACGGGTAGCGACTCCGGTGCTCACCTCTATCCCGTCATCGTTCCATCGATTTGTTGTGCTGCTACGCCCCGGCTGGCAGAGGGCGATGAGCAAGTTCTCATCATCGATCTTTCGCAGTCTGCCACAGTCCCTCAACAGTCTGCGGCCCTTTATAACCCGGGAGACGACTAAGCCGGCATAATTTTCCACGATGTCAATACCATGAAGAGCAGGTGGCGATATTTTAAGACATAGCCATGGTCTAAAACCCTCCTCCTTTTTCAACAGGGCTTGGAACCGGCAACGGCAGAGTAGCCAGTAGCGTTTTGCGTGAACTAGCCTAATCCACTGTCTCTAAAGCAGAGCTCAGTCTAAAAACTAAGCTCTCCGTGTTCAACTCGATCCCCATGCTTACCTGCGGTCATGAGTAGTGGACCATAACTGAAAAGCTTCGAACCTGAGTACAAGCTGCTGAAATGGGCTTTATTAGACGGGTCGCTGGCCTTACGCGTCTCGACATGGTCCGGAATAGTGACATCCGGAAGAGCCTTGGAAT